AAAAAGGTCCTAAAAGAAAAAAGCTATCAACTGAATATTGTGTGTGTAATAAAGTATCCTTCCCAAAAATTAGGGAGAAATTAAGACATTCCCAGATAAACAGAAGCCAAGGAGCTCATTACTGCTAGACCTGCCCTTAGAAGAAATGTGAAAGGGAACACTGGGTGTTACTGTTTAGTAGGAGTACAGTATTGCAGTTTTGCAAGAAGAAAACCATTATGGAGATGGATAACAGTAGCACAGTGTGAATGTATTTAATACCACTGAGCTGTACCACTTCAAATTGTTGAGGTGTTCCACGATTTCTTTTGTGTATTTTACCACCTTTAAGCATTTTTTAAGCAGCCAGAGGAAAAGATACATGTTATGTATAACAAAGCAAAGATAAAGGTGATTGCAGATGTCTTGTTAAAAACAATGCAAGCTAGAAGGTAGAGGAGCATCACTTTGGAAGTACTAAAACAACACTGTCAACTGTCGTTCTAGAACCCACAAAAGTATCTTTCAAAAATGAACTTTTTCAAATATAAAAAACTGGAATAATTCATCACCTGCAGCTTTTTACATGAAATGTTAAGGAAGTCCTTCAGGCAGAAGGAAAATTATACCCGATGGAAGGAAGTCTGGAGCTAGAGGAAGACATGAACTACACCAGAAATGGTAAATATGTAAGTGTGTAGCCAGTTTTTTTTTTTTTTTTTTTAGTATTTGAATCTTCTTAAGGATAATGGGCTATTTAAACATAGATGACAACAATGTTGTGTGGGGTTTATAACATAGTTAAAAGTAAAATAGATGGCATCACTAGCATAAAGGATAGGTGGGGGACTGGAAGGACACTATTATAAAATGTTTATATTATTCATGAAGTGGAATAGTAGCACTTAAGAGTAGGCCATGTGAGTGAAAGATGTACATTATGAATCCTATAGCAAACACTAAACAAAAAGTTACTGCTAATTAACCTCCCAGGGGGACAAATGGAACCATAAAAATTCCCCAAATCCAAAGATTCATTAAAAGAGATAAAAGGCAACAAAAAAACAGATGGGACAAATAGAAAACAGAGCTGAATGACAAATTTATCCATATTAGGGCCTCCCTGGGGGTGGAGTGGTTGAGCACTCTGTTGCGAAGCTGCCTGCAGCCTCTGCAACGCCAGTTCGATCCCCGGCCACTGGGCAAGGGTCCCCATGGCGCGACAGACCTCTCCTGCCACCTGCTGCTCCCCTCAGGTGTACTTCGTCACTCTGCCTGTTCTGCTCCCCGCTCTGGTGAATTCTCTCGCCCTCCCTCACCTCTGACTGTACCCAGTGTTTGTATAAATAAATAATCTTTTTTTAAAAAAAAAGTATCCATATTAATATTCTCATTAAATGTAAATGGTCTAAACAATGCAAGTAAAAGGCAGAGATTTTCAGAATGGCTAAAAGCAAGCAAAACCTATCTGTGCTGCCTATAAGAAACACATTTCAAATATAAAGACGTAGATATGGATGCAGCCTCTGTAGCACGAGTTCGATCCCCAGCCAGGGAGCTATCCACATAGCGCAGCAGACCTCCCCTGTCTGGCCCACTGCTCCCCTGAGCAGTGTATTTCAGTTAGTCTGCCTGTTCTGTTCCTCACTTTGTCTCTGATGAATCTTCTCATCCCCCACACCTCTGGCCTGTACTCCAGTTCTTGTATGATTAAATAAATAAATCTTTAAAAAAGTAAACATTAAAAAAAGTATATGCCATGCTAATGCTAATCAATTATTAGAGTGGTGATATTTATATTAGACAAAGTTTGAGAGCAAAGTATCTTATCAGAGATAAAGGTTTTAAAATTTGCACAATGATAAATGCATAGGAAATCAAAAGAATCCTAAATGTTTATGATACTAACAAATTCAAAGTAAATAAGCAAAAAACAAACAAAACACCTCAAAGAGCCAAAAAGCCACAATTACAGCCAAAGATTTTAATACCTCTCACTAATCTTTACAATGAATCAATAGAAAATCAGAAAGGATTCAAAAAAACAAGATATCAACAATCAAGATATCAACCAGTTTTATTATACTGACATGTACAGAAACCTCACCCAACAATAGAAAAATATTCATTCTTTTCAAAGGCACATATTCTGCTACCAAAATGGAATTAAGAATCAATAAAGGGAAGATACTTTTGAAATCCTAAGTTATTTGGAAACTAAATAACTCACTTTTGAGCAACCTGTAGGTCAAAAATAAGTCAAATTAGAAAGTTTAAAAAATGTATTTTGAACTGAATAAAAATAAAAAGTTTATTGTGGGCCTCCCTGGTGGCACAGCAGTTGAGCACTGGGTTGCGAAGCTGCCTCCAGCCTCTGCAGCGCCGGTTCAAGCCCCAGCTGCCGGGCGAGGGTCCCACATGGTACACAGACCTCTCCTGCCGCCCGCTGCTCTCCTCAGCTATGTACTTCATCAGTCTGCCTGTTCTGTTCCCCGCTCTGTTCTCTCACCCTCCTGCACTTCTGACTGTACCCAGTGCTTATATAAATAAACAAATAAATCTTTAAAAAAAAAAAAAGTTTATTGTGTTTAACACAATAAATGGTTTGACATGTGACATACTACTAAGGCAGTTCATGAAAGGAAATTTATAGTACTAAGTGCCTTTATATTAGAATGGGAGAAATACCTCAATGGCACAGTGTTCACCTTTAAAAAAAAAAAAAAAACTAGGAAAAAAAGCAAATTAAGCCTAAAGCAAGTATAAGAAAGGAAATAATAATAATAAAGGTCAGAGCAGACGTCAATGAAACAGAAAACAGTGGGGGGAGTGGGGGGAAAGGAATCAATGAAACTAGAAGCTGGTCCCTGGAGAAGAATAAAATTGATAAACCTCTATCAGACGAGTCAGGAAAACAGAGAGAGGGCACAAGTCACCAACATCAGGAACAAGGAAGGGGACGTAACCACAGAATTGATAAATACGAGTAGGTAATATTATAAAAAATGTTATGGCCCAAAAAAAAGCACTGTTTAGATGAAATAATTTCCTTGAAAGAAAAAAACAAGGATATAATAAAGGTTACTTAAATAGATAACCCAATCAACCCTGTATTTATTAAAGAAGCTAAATTAATAGTGAAAAAGTCTCTTCACACAGAAAACCCCAGGCCCAGACAGCTTCCCTGGTGAATTCCATCAGTCATTTAATGAAACAACTTTGAATTAGGCAAAGATTTCTTAGCTGCAATGAGAATGATGCAAAAAGAAAATAAATTGGATTTTATCAAAATTTAAGACATCTGCTCTTAAAAAGGATACTGTTAAGAGAATGAGAAGAGTCACAAACCAGGAGAAAATATTTGGTAATCATGTAGCTGATAAAGGATTCATAACCTGAAAATATCAAGAACTTTCAAAATTCAGTAATAAGAAAGCAAACCACCCAATTTAAAAAAAAAAAAAAAAAAAGCACAATGAATGTGAACACACTTCCCCCCAAGGAGAGAGCTTCATTTTGAACACACAAAAAACATTCAATAGCAGTAATCATCAGAGAAATGCAAATGACACAATGCGCTATCACCACACACCTGGCGGACTAGCTAAATTAAAACACTGACTACAGCAAGAGTAGGCAAGGAGGTGGAAGAGCTGGAGCTCTCTACACTGTTGGTGGGGATGTAAATGGGGCAGCCACCCTGGGAAACAATTTGTCAATTTCTCAAGAAAGTAAGCCTGAGGGGGTCTTTCCCTCCCAGGTATTTAGCCAGGAGGGATGCGAGCCTTCGGGTGTCCTTCGCAAGGCAGGAAGGGGAATGTTCAGAGTAGCTGCACTTGTGATGGTGCCAAGCTGGAAAACCACCCACATGTCTACACCCCTCAGCAGCAACTAGGAGTGCATAAAGGGCAGCGTGGATGGGAAGGAAGCCAGAAAAGTAAAGCAGCCAGGAGACACAGACTCCATTTAAACAAACTCTAGGTTATGCAAACATACATATTGATAGAAAGCAGAATGGGGGACCTGGGGGCGGGGGAGGGACGATGCAGACTATAAGAGGGCAAGAAGAACCAACCAACCCACCCAATTCCAAAGAAAAAAGCCACCTGGATGCCTACAGTTGAGTTTCTCCCCATGAAAGAAGTGGCTTTTTAATCTGAGCTCAGAGGAGATCAGGATGCAGTGTTTCTACTTTCTCTGAGTATCTCCCCTTGTGCTGTCTGTCAAGACCGCAGAGGATGGAAGGTGCCCCCCGGGCACCCTGACAGCCAGCCGAGGCTCGGCGCTGGCCTCCAACCAGTCAAGTGACAGCTTTCTAAGAACCATGAAGTAAGAGAGAACAGCCAAAACAAAATGTTTCCAATAAAATCCTTATGCATGTTTCCGTAAAAGGAATCCCAGTGAGTCTGTAATGGCGGCGGGGTGGGGGGGTGGGGATTATCACTCACATTTGACATTTTTACACCCAGTTTTACATGCACATCTGCAGGTTTGCGGCACCGAAGCAAAGCCATAGGGGAGAAATGCCAAATGGATGTCTCCGGCCATAAGTCAACTGATGTTCACGTTCCCTCTCACTTCCCTGCACCCGTTTATCTTCTCTAGGTGCCAGGAGCAGGCCTGGGAAGACTCGCCTCCCACACGCACAGCCGGGACAGGAAAACGCAGCTGACAGAGGGAGATGACATTTTTTAAGAGTCACTTGCACGTGATGACACCTACTTCGCTGACTCCATGTTAAAACCTTCAACTCCTAGGTGTTAAGGGGGGTGGGGTGCGGCCCCTGAGGAAGACGGTCCGAGAGCAAGCATGCGCTCCCTGACACTGTGTTTCAGTGACAAAAACGTTCGCCACCCAGCAGCTCAAGTGTCGTTTAATCAAAAAATGCTCTCAAAATATAAGTTCCACAGAAAGGTGACAGAACGACTTCGGATTAAAGGTCTGAGTATCTGAGACAGCACAGAACAGTCACACACCTCAAGGAGGAGAGAACCGACTCTTTCCTGCAGCAAGACACCCACCTGGAACGTCGTGGAGATGCCGGTGCCACGTTCCACAAAGCAGCATCGCAGGTGCGGGGATCCACACGCCAGGCCAGTCACACCTTCCTCCTCACGAGCTCACACTGAAAAGAGCCAAAGGAATTTGGTCAGTTTGATACAAACACACTCACACCCCTAACACACGTCTCAGCCAGTCGGGTGAACTCGGCCCTGTCGTCACACAGAGTACACGTGGGGCCGGTATTTTCTGCCTCTTCCCAATTAACTCCCCATCGAGTAAAAAATGAGAGGCTAGACAAAATTTAATCCACTCCTGCCACCCAGGGGCACTGCCAGGCACACTCCTCAGCAAGCAGCCGTTTCCAGAACTGTGTAAAGGTCGCAGAAATCCAACAGAAACGCGATCTCAGGACAGCAACGACCCTGGCCACCCACACTCAAGAACCCACCACACCGTGTATGGGAGGCAGGTGCAGAGAGGCAAGAGCAGTGCCGCAGTGAAGAATGTCAGAAACAACCTAGGTGGCCAGCGATAGGGGATTTAGTAAAAACAGCAAAGCTGGAGGCAGGAGTCAAAAGGAATGGTGGATGGTGGGGGATGGTGCAGCTGAACGCCCATGCTTTGTGGGGTTTAAAAAGGGGAAAAGATATACTAGAAAACACATACACGACTATAACACTGGTGGGGAGTAAAATCCCACCCAAAGCACTGCACCCCCTATGTAGACACACAGTCAAAACAAAGGCAAAGGAAAAAGGCATGGAAGGAGTCAAAATGAGCTCATATGGAGGGTCCCCCGGAAAAGGAGCAGGGGGCGAGCTAGAGAGAGCGGGGAGGGCGAGGGCGGCGCGCCCCACTATGCAGAACCAACAAAGAGGAGAAACAGCAACACAGCATCTGCTCCCCTGCGGCTGCTACTGCCTTTAAGACGTCAGCCCTTGTCCCCTCTGCATGCTCGTGTTTGTACCTCAGATAACCTGGCTGACCTGTTCAGAGCTTATCTGAAAAAACAAAAGGGAAAAAAGAATGAAGCAAATGAACCTTATTATTCACAGCTGCCAACCTGCTCCTAGCCTGGCTGCGGCATGAACCAGCGGGACCTACTTTCCCAAGGTTAAAGGCTCCATAACTGAGGGCCGAGGGCGTGCTGGGCATTCTGCACAAAACTTACCTTTGTTTTAACAACATCGAGAGTGTGGCAGGCATTATTTGTAAAAGGTGCAGAAACAAGGCCTCCCCGGTGGTGCAGCGGTTGAGCGCTGGGCTGCGATGCTGCCTGCAGCCTCTGCAGCGCCAGTTCGTTCCCAGGCTGCCGGGCGAGGGTCCCACATGGCGCGCAGACCTCTCCTGCCACCCGCTGCTCCCCTCAGCAGTGTACTTCGTCATTCTGCCTGCTCTGCTCTCCATTCTAACTCTGGTGAATTCTCTCACCCTCCCGCGCTTCTGACTGTACCCAGTGGTTGTATAAATAAATAAATAAAAATGAATCTTAAAAAAAAAAAAGGTGCAGAAACAAGAACTGCCTCTTTCCCAGCTGGGAGACCCCTGTCTTGAATTTTGATGCAGTCATTGGACCAGCAACACGTCTCCTTCGGTCCCTGCATCATACATGCCGCAGGACCCCACACAACAACTGCAGGGATCTGTGCTAAGGTGAGCACAGTGACCACAAACATTCCAGCTATTCCTCCACTGAAGAACACACAAACTCACAAATCTAGAGCTGGAGACTCCCAGCCACAACAACTGAAATATTCATGGGTCAGAGGACTCACTAGAGCCAAGATGTCAATCTCCTCCAAATTCCTCTAGAGATTCAATTCCATCAAATTCTCAACAAGCATTTGGAGAAACTGATGAGCTGATCCTAAATATCACATAGATGTATAGGGGCCTAGAGCACACAAAATGATTTTGCAAAAAAAGAACCAAGTTGGAGGACTGGCAGTAACTAGATTTCCGTACTCCCCATCAAATGCAGTGATCCAAAGTCTGTGGCAATTGGCATAAGGACAGAGAAGATTATGGAACAAAACACAAACACCAGCCCACCATACACAGCCCACTGACCTGCACCCGCCGTGCCCTGGCAGTTCCATGGGCAGAGGGTGCTAGCTTCAACAAAGGTCTGGAACTACTGGATGTTCTCGTGGGAAGAAGTTGAACAATCAAGCCCTTCCTCACGCCATATGCACAAAAATTAACTTAAAACGAATGACAGGCCTAAATGCAAAAGCTACAATGACAAAAATTCTAGAAGAAAACTTTTGTGACCTAGGGAGACAAAGATTTCCTAGAGAGGATGCAAAAAAGCATGACCCAGGAAAGAACTGAGAAAGCGGACTTCATCAAAATCTAAAACTTGTGTGCACTTCAAAAGACACCATTTCGAGCCTAAAAAGACAAGCTGGAAACCAGGAGAAAATTCACAACACACATATCTGACGCAAGACTTATCCAGGATATGCCCAATCTCTGATGATTCAACGAGAAGATAAACAGGCCATAAACACCAGGCCTGAGACTTGAGTAGACGCTTCATCAAATGGTTAACAAATGGCTAAGAAGCACCTGAGCAGGTGCTTAACATCACCGTGGTGGAGAATGCAAATCAAAAGGAGACACCATGGCACACCCGCTAGAAGGGAGGAAATGAGAAAGGGGATGTAGAAGGCCAGTTGCAGCTGGAGCCCATGCCCACCCCAGCCCTGGTTCTAAACCGCCCGTTGCCAAACCTGCCGTGGCTGGGGTGCTGTGAGTGGCTGAGGGAGCTTTCTTTGAAGCCTTTTTTTTTTAAAGATTTATTTATGCATACAAGAGCTGGGGTGTAGGCCAGAGGTGTGGGGGGGGGTGGCGGTGAGAGGATTCACCAAGGAGAGAGTGGGGAGCAGAACAGGCAGATTGACTGAAATACACTGCTGAGAGGAGCAGCGGGCGAGACAGGTGTGCCATGTGGGTGGCTCCCTGGTCTGGGATCGAACTCGAGCTGCAGTGGCTGGGATAGCTTCATAGTGTTGATATTTAACCCCTTGAAGTCTTGATTTGGGTAATTGGTCAAGAGCCTCAGGTGACCTAAATATCCAAGTCTGAGGATTTTTTTTCCCCCTCTTCTGCAAGCAACTGAATTTCTCTAAGATGCTTTAAAGCGATGGTTCTCAAAGTAACGACCCCAATGAGCCACCTCAGTACCCTCCAGGGGGTGTCAGAACGCAGCACCTCCCCCAGGCCTCCCAGTCAGTCTGCACCTTCCTGAGATGTGCAGGCAGGTCAGGCACAGGTGCGGCCCTCACAGGCTCAGCACTGCTGCTAAAATGGAGGCGCCTGCTCTGGAGGTTCGAGAGCAGGGAGGCAGGATGCGGGTGTGGCCTGCAGCAGGGGCCCCTGGACAGGGAGGGTGTCCTTCACGTGGTCAACCTCAACTGTGGCCAAACTGCAAAGGGACGCTGCCCCTCAGTGGATCCAGGTGAATCCTGACCCCAGGAAGGAGAGGAAGTAAAACGGCCTGGAGGTGCCTCTTAGAAACCCTGGCAGAAACAGTGACATCCCTTCCCCAGAAATGCACACACCTCACATACTTTTGGGGAGAATTCAGGTTCCCTGGTCTGAAGGGCAAAGGCCCAGGTTAAAATTTCCTGCTTCTGGCTCAGGGTCCCACGGGAGACACAAAGGGGTGCAGGAAAAATGAAGCCATATATGTATATTTTTTTAAAGGAAAGAGACTAAATTTCAACACAAAAGAAATGTAAATGCTTATGAATTATTCAGACTAGGCAACTTAATAATACGGCTCAACAAAGAGATAGAGTTCCCTACCGTCACCTGGCTTTGTCACCAGATCAGGCCGACAGTTCTCATTTAAAGCGCCACCTTCCCCAAGGCCACAGGCGCCACCTGCTTTGGCACACTCTGGTTCCTCCCAGCAGGACCCACCGGCCCCAGGAGCCATCTGCTGGGGTTCAGTTCTTTCCAGAAGTGCCGGCAAACCGCGACTCCTGTCCACCAGAAGCTCAGAGTCTCCACTTGGTGGGGAAGGGCTCCTTGGAAGGGCAGTGCCAGGGCTGTCCAGGCCTAGGAGGTTCCCCAGAACCACAGAGAGGACTGAACCCACTGAAAGGGAGCCCCGACTTCATTCCTTCTACTGTGCTCATTGAGGAGCGCCTGAGGGCCTGAGGACTGTGGGCGGGCAGGTCCACCAGCCAGGTCTGTGGGCTCTCGGGACTTTACACCAGCAAGATAAATAGGCTCAGACCATTTCACAGCTGCATTCTCTAGTTCTGGGGTCACTGAAGTTCAGAGGACCAGTCTCTCACACGGCCCCCAGCCCCGGGACACCCAGACATCCTACCTGTCTGTCAAGGTACAAATCATTCCCTTCTGTAGGGCAAATGAAAACGCTCAGGCTTCTGCGCCGTGACTCTGTGACTATCACCTGCGGCCTCAAAGGCCGGAGGCTCCTGGGAGTGTGGGCTCGGGGTACACATGCCTGATGGCGGACACCTGGAGCGTGGCTTGGGCATGCGTAAGTGGGCACACCTGAGCAGAGAGACTGAGCACATAGGGGCGGCGTCACAGAGGGCGGAGCACGGCAGAGAGCCCACGAGAAGACGCCAGAGAGAACCCAGAGAGAATAAAGGTTCCCCAGAGGCTAGCAGGCCTACCAGCCTCCCGGCCCCCTACCTGCCCGGCCCCCGGTTGACTCACTACAAACGGTGTAGAAAGATCATTAAAAGCCTGAAAAAGCACTGAGGGCTCTGGACTCTTTACCTGTCCGCTGCGATCCACGGAAAGCCGGCCTGGTGCCTTGCTGGCTGAACACCTTCCCTCCCTCCCCTCGGGGAACGGTTTCATGGTGGGGAGGGGCACCTGGGCACCATCTTCCACCTGCCAGTTAGTTCTGGGCTCAGCACCCCAATGAATTTCTACTCTTAACTTTTCACTTTTTACCACCCCCGACACGTCTGCACAATAATTCCAACAAGCCAACGAACAAGAGAAAAAGGAGAGGAACAGCAGAACTAGGATCAACTCATAGAAAGCAAGCAAGGCTCATTCGTGTTTTTTTTTAACTCTGAACACATGGTGGTGTTTTTTTTTTGTTTGTTTTTTTTTTTTTTTCCCCCCATTAAGGAGCCGCAGGGAGGTTTGCACGGAGAGTGCAAGCAGGCCAGGCGCCCTGTCTCGGGGCACGAGGGCCAGTCTGGAGGGTCAACGTCAGGGCCTTCTCCACTCACCGGCCCAAACCTTGACGTTTAGAGCAAGGTGGTGAACACGCCTCCCTTGCCTGTGCTGCACACCTGCGTGGCTGCCGGCGGGCACCCTTAGTTTCTGCCCCCACACACCCTACACGCATGCAGGCGCCCGCGTGCGCAGACACGGGTAGCAGAAAGGTCTGTGCAGCCCCCCAGGGCCCCCCCGGGCTGATTCAGTCACCCCTGAGTCGGTCACTTGATGGAAAACCACTATCAATGAGGCGATGAGACGGCACAGACCGCAGTGTGTAAACCTGCTCTACACTGTCGCCAGCCCGGCACAGCTCACCCACGAGCAACACGCCGAGGGCGACACCTGCCGCACACACGCCCCTGCCCGCCGACCCGCCGCTGTCTACACTGCACGGCGCACAACCGCCGCTGCAGCCACTCGACCGGCAGCGCAGACGCGACTGACGGAGACTCCGCGGCGGGGAGATGCGCGGCCGGCCCGCGCCCGGACACACACGCGACCGGGCAGCGCCAGCTCCGGGCGCACCGGGCGCACCTGGCGCACCTGGGGCGCGCGGGGCGGGGGCAGCGGGTGCCGGCCGAGCCGCGCCCCGCCCCCCCGGACGCGCTGCGCCCGCCCCGCGCCCCCAGCCCCGCCCCCCGGCCCCCCCGCCCCGCTCACCCGCCCGGGCGCCCCGGGAAGCCGAGGCCCGACCCCGCGCCGCGCGGACCCTGTGGAGAGCGGGCTCGGGCCCGGGTCGACGTCCCGCCCGCGCCGAGATCCAGGCCGGCCCCGGGGACCCCGGGCCGCCGGCCCCGCCTACGCGGCCGGGCACGCGGGGCGCGGGGGAGCCCCCAGTCCAGCCCCGCCGCCGCCCCGCGCCGCGAGCAGGTAGAGGCGCGGCCGCCGCGCCCGGGGAGCCCGGCCCCGCCCCCCCAGCAGGCCGCGCGAGGGGGGGGGCCGCACGGGACGGCGGCGCGGGCGCGCTCGCACTGACGCGCGCGGGCGCGCCCGCGGGGCGAGCGCACGGGAGCGACGCCAAGATAGAGGCTCGCCGGGCCGCCGCTCTAACGCAGGCGCGGTGGCCAAGTGGTAAGGCGTCGGTCTCGTAAACCGAAGATCACGGGTTCGAACCCCGTCCGTGCCTCGCTTCCGCTTTCGTCACGCGGGAGACTTTTTAGAATCGGGGCCGTTTCCAGGAGGCTGGGGCGGTCGCCGCCTCCCGGGCGTCGCGTCTAGGCCCCCGCCCGCCCGGGCAAATGTTTTCACCCGGGGCGGGGCCACGCGCCCTTCGCGCGGGAGGCGGGAGCCGAGCGCTCTGGCCTGGTCGGCGACCGGCCCGCGGGCAGACCCGCGCCCGGTCGGCGGGCGGAACGGGGGGACTGCCCCGAGGGGGGCCCCCAGGGGTCCCCCAGCCCAGCCGCCGGCGCTGGCTCCCCAGCGTCTCTCTGTCGTTAAAGTCCGGCTGAGCCTCTCGAGCGACGAGCCGCGGCCGCCCCGCGCCCCGCCCGCACCCCGCGGCGGCTCCGTCGGGCTCGCGGTTTCCACGAACCCCGCGGCCGGCGCTGGGGGGTCCCGCCCCCGCCAGGCTGGAGGGCGCGCCCACGCCCTTTGCTTTCGAGGGGGGCAGCTCGAGTGGCCCCCGGGGCGCCCCGTGACCCGAAGCCCAGCTCGGCTGACATCGGGGGCGCCCGAGTCCCCCCAGAGTCCCAGTTGAAGGGAGCACACACGGGGCTCCTGGCGTACCTGGGGGTCCTCGATGAACCCCCGGGTGCCCCTCTCTGAGGGCGGGGGAGGCCGGGCAAGGGGCCCCTCCGCTGAGGGCCGCGGGCTGGTTAACTCCGCTCGCGGGGCCCCCGGCCGAGGCGCGCCCCGCACTGACTTGCAAGCTCAAGTCCAGGATAGAAAACCCCAGCGCCTCTCGCGCCTCAGCCCGGGGGTGCCCGGACGCGCGTCCACACCGCGGGGCCGGGCGGGAGCCTGCGCCCCGCCCCTCTCCGGGGCTCGGGGGTGCGCGGCCCCAGGGGGCCCGGCCTCCCGGGGGGGCGTGGGGGGGCGGCCGCGGCCACAGCAGGTCGGGCGCTGGAAGATTTCACACTTCACCTCAGCCCGCAGACGGAGTTCTTTGGGTTTTCTACAAGTGACTGGATTAGAGGGGTAACCCCCTACCCCAATCACCTCCACATCCACCAGCGGGGCCTCCCTGGTGGCGCAAGGGGTTAAGACACAACCTAGGAAGGTGTCCGCAGCCACTGCAGCACGAGTTCAATCCCCGGGCAGGGAGCTACCCCCAAGGCGCGGCAGACCTCTCCTGTCTCCCCGCTGCTCCCCTCAGCAGTGTGTTTCCGTAGATCTGCCTGTTCTGCTCCCCGCTCTGCCTCTGGTGAATCCTCTCATCCCCCCCACACTCTGGCCTGTACCCCACTTCTTGTATGCATAAATAAATCTTTAAAAAAAAAATACCACCAACACATAGGTAACCCTTAGAATGCAGGGAAATTAGAATGATCCAGAATTGAGGCAGAGCAATGCTTGCTTGCATGCTCTCTTCTTCCCTGTGGGGCATCATTCCGTTTTTTGTTGTTTTCATTTTCAGGAAGTGCCACAAAAGAATGCCTATGTTCCTCCCCATTAAAAAATCCCAAAAATCTCCCTCCCCATTAAATACAACGCACTGAGGTGCAATGGTTAATTGGTCTCATACCATAAAGTACAAGAGAAAAAAGCGCCAAGGCTTTTCCTTCTGAGGCTTGTATTTACAGACACAGTTATCTGACGCACGAAGCAAGGGGAGGGTCAGCCTTGAGAGAAGCTTCAAGGCCGGCTAGTGACTGGGCACGCAGAGGAGGGGCGGCAGGCAGGGGTAACAAACTCCAACTCCAGCTCTCTGAAGAAAGCCCCTCAGACCTCATGTCCCAAGGAACAACAAACTCTAGCCCAGTTTCTTTGCTTTCCAGACAATAAAACTTTAACTCCTCTCTTCTCAACCCCCACATCCCCCAAATCAATAGAACCCCCTTTCCTTTCTTAATGGGGGGGTAGATTTGAGTGTATCTCTTATCTCCTTGCCTATCTATTCACAAATAAAGCTGGTTTCTCATATACCTGACATCATGTGAGCTGTGCATGTCGGGTAGAGACCCCCATCGCGGGGTAACAAGACCACCGTGTCCTGCAAGTAAGCCAGGAGCCATGGACACCATCAGTTTTCCTATTGTAGGGGCGCAGGAAACTCCCCAACCTTCTGGGTTCTTCTAGGCTGGCATGAAGTCAAATATCAAGACTGCAAGAGAAAACGAAAAACAAATCAAAAATACCCTTAATAATAGCATGTATTCCTCCTAGAAATAGTCTAACAAAAGGGCAGTATCCTCCCAGGCTTCAGAGACCCTCCTTTGAAATAATCCTTCGGCCAGAGATATACTTTGGGGAGTAGCAGGCTTTGCTTCCCTAAAGTGCACAGGTGTTCCTGTCCATCACTGCAGAGACCAGAACAGAACTCCTCTATGACATCATCCTAGGAAACTGCATTCTCACCACCCCCCTTCTCTGCCTCAGGTGAAGGAGGGACTTTAGAAAAAGGCAATGTTCAGGGGCCTCGCTGGTGGCCTAGGGGTTAAGTCTCAGTGCTTCCACCTCGAAGGCCCACCTCTAGGGCCTGAGTTCACCCCCAGCCAGGAAGCTGACCCACATGGCACAGCAGACCTCTCCTGTCTCACCCACTGCTCCCCTCAGCAGTGTCATTGTGATCTTCATGAAGTGCCACAAAAGAATGCCTATGTTCCTCCCCATTAAAAAATCCCCAAAATGTCCCCTGGTGGCGCAGCGGTTGAGTGCTGGGCTGAGAAGCTGCCCGCAGCCTCTGCAGAGCCGGTTTGATCCCTGGCCACAGGTGGCGAGGGTCCCACATGGCGCACAGACCTCTCCTGCGACGCCCACTGCTCCCCTCAGCAGTGTACTTCGTCAGTCTGCCTGTTCTGTTCCCCGCTCTGGCTCTGGTGAATTCTCTCACCCTCCCGCGCTTCTGACTGTGCCCAGTGCTTGTATAAATAAGTGAATAAATCTTTAAAAAAAAAATCCCCAAAATCTCCCTCCCCATTAAATAAAACACACTGAGGCACTGCCTGTTCTGCTCCCCACTGTGTCATTGGTGAATCTTCTGTCTTTCTCTCTCCCTACCTCTCTCTCTCTCTCCCTCTCCCTCCCTCCTCTCTCTCACACATACACACACACACAAAAAAACACACATACATGCACACACACGCACACCTCTGGCCTACACTCCAGTTCTTATATGCATAAATAAAAATAAAAAGAAAGAAAAAGGCGGTCCTCCCCTGGTGGCACAGGCGGTTGAGCGCTGTGAAGCTGTCCACAGCCTCGGCAGCGCCGGTTCGATCCCGGCCAGCAGGTGAGGGTCCCACATGGCGCGGCAGACCTCTCCTGTCTTGCTCACTGCTCCCCTCAGCAGTGTGTTTCGTCAGTCTGCCTGTTCTGTTCCCCACTCTGTCTCTGGTGAATCCTCTCACCCTCCCGCACATCTGGCCTCTACCCCAGTTCTTGTATAAATAAATGAATGAATGAATGAATGAATGAATGAATGAATGAATGAATCTTTAAAAAAAAAAGAAAGAAAAAGGCAATTTGCCTAATGTACTATAGTACCAGGTATGCAAAAAAAAAGGGGGGGGGGCATGAAATTACTAAGGCTACTTAATCATGTGTAATTAAGTGCTTGTTGTTTTATTTTTGGGTTTTTAAGCCTGGAAGATAACACAAAAATCTCAAAACCATAACCTCTTGCTGAAATCCTGCAATACCACAGAGCTGTAGAAACAGTTCCATACAGGCTGCAGAATCAGAAACTAGTGAGCAAATCCTGAATTGGGATCTGTTTACACATAAATGGGTAAAGTTGACTTTGTGTCTGAATAAACAAGACATTTGATGTTGATTTAAGCCACATGTGTTCATGAATAGAGAAAGCCAGGTTTGGATTTCTACAACCTTTGTAGAAATTCACGCTTGAAAGTCACCTTGGAGTTGGGGGTCTTTGTTCTGTCAGGATCCACTCCCAGATCGTCCTTAGATACATAAAGCAAAGACAAAGTGCCTGATGCTGGGGTTGGAAGGAAAAAGGCACATGAAACTGAGCCTAGACAGATCCCTGAGACCTTGGTGTGCAAAAATGACCCTTGGAATAAAGATGACTACATAAGGAACCCAGAGTTTTCTGGGAAAGAAGAAATGAACTCTTCCAAATCACCCTCTCCCCATTATTCAAAGTTAGATAAATCTGTATGGATAGATCATGATAGTCAGCGGCATTGAAAAGATAGAAGAGGGCTCTTGAAGTCAGAGAAACCAGGATCCCAGTGTTAGCAAGGCAGGGTTGTCTGTCTACAGAGGCTGTGCAGGAGCAAATTCAACTGCGACACCATGTGGTGGCATGAAGTAAGAGCTGTGTAGATCAACTGCCCCTGCATGGAGGAACTGCTGGCAACCATAAACCAGGCACATAATTTCTCTGTGCCTCAGTTTCTCCCTTTCTAAAATCAGAATGATGCATTGCAGTCGGCCCCTCTCCTGGAGTCCTTCTGAGGACAGCATTGTAAACACTTACAAGCCAGGATGGGCATCATAGGTAACTGTTAAAAGAAATGATGGATTGATCTGAAGGTGACAATGAGATACAATTAAACGAGAAAAGCAGATGTCCTGCTTTTTGAGTTTTCTTTTACAGAAAACGGTAAAAGAGGGCCTCCTCTAGTGGCTCAGGCGGTTGATTGCAGCGCTATGAACTGTCCACAGACTCTCTGCAGCGCCGGTTCGATCCCAGAAGGTCGGCGAGGGTCCCACATGGCATGGTAGACCTCTCCTGTCTCACCCGCTGCTCCCCTCAGCAGTGTATTTCGTCAGTCTGCCTGTTCTGATCCCCGCTATGTCTCTGGTGAATCCTCTCGCCCTCCCGTGCATCTGGCCTGTACCCTGGTTCTTGTATAAATAAATAAATCTTTAAAAAAAAAAAAAGAAAACTGTAAAAGATACCATCACCACATTCAAGGTAATAGCCATCATCTCCAGGTATTCTGTATCCTTTTACTTTCTGTGTGTCTTTGACAAGAACACTTAAAATGCTGTCTACCCTCTTAACACACTTGTCCATCCACAGTAGAATTGATCCTTCAGCAATAGAGGTTTAAACAGCGTGGGTCCAATTACATGTGAATTTTCTTATAAACAGATGACTTTTTGATAAATACAGTGTAGTGTTGTTAATGAATTTTCTCTTATGATTTTTAATAACTTCTTTTTGCTTTAGTGTAAGAAATACATATAATATAGTAAGAATTATATAATATATATAACATACAAAATACATGTTAATCTGCTGATTATATTATTGGTGAGGTTCCTGGTCAACAACAGACTATCAGTTAAGTTTTGGGGAAGTCAAAAATTATATTTGGATTTTTGACTGCCTCATTATTCAAGGCTCAACTATATTGTTAATTATTGGGACTATGTTGAATAGCAGATCTCAAGAACTTAGTCACCTTGTATAATTGTAACTTTAGTGGGTGTCCTGTTTTTGAAAAATTAATTTTTGTAAAAATAATTAAGCATATTTATCAATACATGTATGAATGTGTCTATCAGCTTCTTGGAGTATGAAGACAGTCCATGCCCATATGAAAGGCTCCATGTCGTGCCACTGACAATGAATACCTCCAGGTGGAGTGAGAGGAGGAGAGGAATTGCAGAGAAAATCACCGTTCACCCTTGAACAATACAGGGGTTGGGGCACCCATGTGGGCACAGTCAAAAATCCACGTATAACTTTGATGTTCCCCAAATTTATCTCCATTAATAGCCTTTTGTTGACCGAAAGTCTTACCAGTGACATAAACCACTAACACATGTTTTGTCTGTTACATGTATTATATATGGTATAAGTTAATCTAGAGATGATTCCATAGCCAGATTTCTAGGTTTAGTTATTGGGTTGGTTTTATCACTTTGTTTTGTTTCTCTATATTCCACATATAAGTGAAACCATCTGGTATTTATCCTTCTTGCTTATTTTGCTTAGTATTTCTCTCTCTAGTTCCATCCATGTTGTTGCAAGTGGGAAGAGTTCCCTTTTTATATATAGCTGAGAAGCATCCCATTGTGTATAGATACCACATTTACAAACATAACTCCTCTGTCCTAGGGCACTTAGGTTGTTCCCATAACCTGGCTGTTGTAAACAATGCTGCAATGAACATAGGAGTGCAGATAACTCTTCAAATTAGTGATTTTGCATTCTTTGGATAGCTAGGAGTGGAATTGCTGGATCCTATGGAAGATCTATTCTTAAATTTTTGAGAAATCTCCATATTGTTTTCCATTGTGGTTGAACTGGTCTACATCAAACTAAAAAGTTTCTACTCATAACAAGAAAATATCAGTAAAACAAAAAGACACCCAACTGAATGGGAGAAAATACATACAGTACATCTTACAAGTGGTCAATATCCACCCTATATAAAGAACTCATTCAACTCAATCAAAAAAATAGGTAGAAGAGCTAAATAGACACTTTTACAAAGAGCAAAATAGATACTTTTCCCTGTACAGATGGGAAAATGCTCACCATCAGTTATGATCAGGGAAACACAAATCAAAACCACAGTGATTTCACACACCTGTGAAATAGCACATATCAAAAAGATCAGAAACAAAAAGCTAGAAAAGAATCAAGAAAACAAACCCATTCACCATTGTAACAAAGAGAATTAAATACCTAGGAATAAATTTCACCAAGGAGGTAAAGGACCTATGCTATGAAAACTGTAAGACATTGCTAAAAGAAATAGAAAGAAGCACACAAAAAATGGAAAAATATTCCATTCTCATAGATTGGAAGAATTAACTCTGTTAAAATGACCATCTTAGCAGAAGCAACATACAGATTCAATGCAATCCCTATCAAAGTTTCAATGGCATTTAATGAAATAGAACAAGCCTTACTGAAATTCATATGAAACCACAAAAGACTCTAATAGCCAAAACAATCCTGGCCAAAAAAAAAAAAAAGAGGAAGCATGGTGATACCACAGTCCCAGACTTCAAACTAGATCACAAAGCTATAGTAATCAAAGCAGTATGGCACTCAAACAAAACCAGACACACAGACCAATGGAACAGAATTGAAAGCCCAGAGATAAAGTTGCACATCTATGGACAGTTAATCTATAACAAAGGAGCCAAGAGTATACAATGGAGAAAGAAGTTTCTCTTAAACAAATGGTGTTGGGAATACTGGACAGCCACATGCCAAAGAATGAAACTAGATCACCCTCTCTCACAAAATTTACTTGAAATGGATTAAAGACATGGATAAAATCATAACCATGAAATACATTGAAGAAAATATAGGCAAACACTCTGCAGTATTGGCTTCAGTGATGTCTGTGGACTTGTTCCCAACACAAGAGAAACAAAAG